TGTACAAGTCCAGTATAGCACCAGTACGCACATTTATTAATTAAGTACAAAAAATAGATACAATAAGAAAGTGTAAATATTTAACACCTGTAGTCGATGAATTTCACTTCCCACCTAGGTGATGAGGTGATAATGAATTTGGCACTCAATATTTATACTTTGATCCTTTTCCTTTTAAAACTACATCTGACTTTACTAGTTGGGTGGGTGTATGTTATTTTACATGCCATCTTGTCATGTTAAACAATTTACAAAATATATTTCACTGTGTTTATTAGATTTATCTTTGTCTATAACAACATAATGATCAAGAATGATCGTCTTTCCCATAAATATCAGCCCTTTAATCGAGGATGTTCAATATTAGCATTCTTCGAGAGAAACACTTTATCATGGTACTGTTTATTTGTATATTCCAAGGGTCATTTTGAATTTCCAGTCATACACATATAAATAAACATGTTTTTTTATAATTTCAGATTCAAACAGCAGCAGTGCTTGGACGCCCCTATATGGGGGAGGAGGAAAACTTGATAAAGACGCAATACAGTTAATACATAAATTCTACTGTAAAGACTGTCAAATGGAAGAACAAGCAGCAGAACGAGCTAAGGCTCAATCGTCCAGTAAAGCTGCTGCTAATTCTCCATATCATCGTGAACCAACTAGTCCAGTATTAGATCAACATTCCTTAACACAAAGTCTAGATAAAAACAAAGAATGTAAGTAGATTTAAATTCTTTAATCCTCAATCAATCCACAAAATTTTACCTCTGTAACATGTTTTGGGTTGGGCCCCTGGTTCCCAACCAGAGAACATCTTATGAGGTGCTGATTTCAGACATCATGCTTTCAAAGGAGTCTCAGCAGTCTAAAAGGTTGTGAACCAAGGGTTTTGGCAATAAACGTTTTCCAGATCTAAGTTATCTGTAACCTGTATTTGGTTTTTTACCCAGATTGATTATATTGTGTTGGTACTAGATGTGAGAATTCTTCTACAGATTTTGATATTCTTTGACCAGAAAGGTCATCAACACTCATTTAACTTGACCATAAAAAATATACATACTTTGTATTGTATTGTTCTCTCACAAGTCATAAATAGTTGTTCTACTTCATAAAGATTATAATTAATAAAATAAGATGGAATATGAAGGTGTGAGTGAATGTTTAAAAGTTTGATGGTATATTATAACCATGCTGTATCTGGACATTAATCATATTCACAGTAATTAACACAAGCCTTAATTGACAGGTTTATTTATCTCTAATTATTTCTTACATGTCCCTAACACCATTACCACTCTTTTTTTCCTTCACCTAAATCAATGAGAAATCAGCTGACTTGCAGGTTTTCCTGCCTGCCAGAAGTCAGTACGAATAATGGCCTTGCACATGAATGGCTAACTGCCAGCAATAAGTTGAAGAATGTTTGGCGCTTGCCTCATCAGTTAACTGTAGGCTGGATGCCAAATGTGTTTTTGAATAGAAGACCAGATGCTTTCTTCTTGATGCTAAGAAATGATTTAAAGCACTTTGAAGTATAATTTCATCATTTCGATTTTTTGAATATTTATGTATATTTCAGAGATGAAAGAGCAAATGTTGCTTTGTTTTCGTCTGTCTATCTATATACATATATAATAACAAAAATAACACATTATAATATAGTTTTCAAATACTTTAGTGCGTCAATATTCAATTAAATTTTTAATGTCTGTTGAGGTGAATAGACATAAAGAATAAAACCACCTTATAGATAGATATTTCAAAGATACTAACATTAAGTGGGGGAGCATAATTAACCGGTTTCTTTTATTTTTTGTCAAATTGAAAATAATGAACATATTTTACTCATTTATTATTACTTACAAGATAATTAACATGCACTAGAGGTATTCAAAATATGTATCAATTTAAAAATGTCCTAAGACTGCATCAATCGCAGATTTAGCACTTTCAAAATAGGTTATTGAACTATACACATCAATTGGCTGTATTTCTGATCAATATCTCTTGGTGTTTGATTAATATATTTTTTGTTTTGAATAAAGGTGTGAGGAAAGAATAATTAACCAGAAAGAATGTCTTTCAAGTGAGTTAATATACCTACCATTATTGGGCTTATTCCTTTCCATTACTTTTTATCTTTGATTTCACAGTTCCTGTTATAATTTCCTGTTTTGTGGGCACTGATGGTTCTATAATTGATTTTTGTTAAATTCATTCTGTTTTCTAGTTTGGGATCAATCTCAACTTTTATTGTTGATATAATTAAATTTTTAGTGACAATAAGCTGGTGCTTGTGAAGAGCATATCAATGTTATTAGTTATAAATGATTATTTATTTTATGCTTATCCCTGCTTAATGCTTTGTTTCATGATTCTTTGCTTCCTTCAACAACTTTTGGAATTTAAAAAATGATAAAAGACAAGGCATGTTTCAGTTCAAAATATTGCAAAATGTCATTTGTCTGCTTTGGTCCAAAAGGAGCAGGAAATTAGTTCATTTTCTCTTTCTTTTCCCCCTTTTATCATTACCTAAAGGTGGAGAGTAATAGATCCAAAGGATACAAATCAATTATTGTATTCCGGAAAACAAAACTCTATTCTGTTCTGATATTCATTCTCAAAGTGTTAGTATGCCACTTTGTGTGAGCAGTTGTAAATGTAGCATCTCGTTCACATGTTTGATAATATTTTGATTTTTTTTTAATGAACTGTGATTGTATGACTGCATCACTTTAATACTTTAGACATGAAAGATGATTTTTAATAGAAAATAAACAATATTATCATAATTTCTCTCAAATTGAAAAGTGTTTGTCACTTAAATTGACTACTTATTAATAATGATTGTGTGCATTTATATAGTTCATAGTTGTGTCATTTAACACACTTTGTTAAGCAGTGTTTTATGGAAACTTAACACTTGATTATTGTAATATTGGTAATTGCCTCTATACATTCTATATACTGTTCCACTTGAAAACTTCAACAAATAAACAATAGAAAAACTCATCATAATGTACAGATAGTTGTGTTCCTTACTTGTGGGAGATATCTATTTCATCTTACATATTTCAAAATACTCCTAAAACAACATATGTTTATAGTTTTTATCAAATGTAATTGAAACTGATATATAAATATCATTATTTTGGTAGTTATTACGTAGAATTTTTAATTCCTGATACCAGCCAGTGTGTCTTTACTGCAGTTTATTATCATACTCTTAGTCTTCATTAGAATGGCTTCTTTTTTACCCATCCTTAACAATTGAAAGTTGCATTTAGCTTTAGATGTAAATCATAAGTTTATCAGCATATTTGTAATTTGCTCTTATCAGTTCTTTTTCACAAATCTGGAAATTAGTTTGAAGTTGTATTCTATCAACTTTTATGGAAATCTTTATAATCAATGTAGAATAAATCTGAAGAATTCTTAATGTATTGTCTTCCAAATTCATGTTATATTCTTATAAATTTCTGAGACAGTTCGCGAGAAAAATGGAAGTGATTTTCAGGATTGATTTAGTTGGTAGCATCAGTGCTAAAAGGTATTGCTTATCTAGGTAGGAATCAATATAACAAATCAACTTATATGTTATTGTGTAAGACAACAAAGTTTCTATATTTGCTTCTGAAAACATCTGCTCCCCTATAGAATTAGTTTACAAGTGTTGAGTGAAATACAGAAAACGTTCATCCTTCTCAACTTTTATCTTATCTCACCTGTAGGCACAAACTATCTCAAATATTCCACTAACATAACCAGGATTTAAAGAGTTTTTTTGATATGAAAGTAGTATTTTAAAGTGTTTGTGATTGTGATTAGTTTATCTTACAGTATATTCTCAATTCTTATTCTCATATCAAGTATCATTAAGAATTATATTCTATCTAATAAATTCTTTCTTTAAATATCTTCTGCCACACTTTCATTTCATTCCATTTCTCATAAATAACCACCATTTATTCATTCTGACATACCATTGAAGTGGCTTTATACCACCAGAGAAGCTTCAAGATCTTGAGATTATAATAAGTTATCTGGTTATGCAGAATTGAGAGGGTAAAGGCTGAATTTTGGTATTCCACCATGTGTTTTATTGTTTTCACTTTTACAATAAAGCAAAAATTGATTTGAATTGAATTATGAATAGTATTGAAAGAAAAGCAGGAAGAGTTTTCTAAGTCCTTCTCTATTTTGTATGTTGTTAAGGTCTGGTTGTAATTCATTGTGGATTTGAATTGGACTAAATATACCTTCATCACCAGTATTCAATGTTGATTCTTAAAAATTTGTGCAATTTATTTCTTTATAACCCTACATTGTTCTTATAAGTCAAAAAGCGATCCCTTTGCTTCTATTCAAAGTTTTAGACAATATAAAATCTTTTGGCCAGAGTTTCTCAGGTACTGATAGGTAATTTATCAGAGTTATTATTTTAGACCAGGTACTATTTTAGTACATAATAAATTAGCGTTAGAGATATTTCTAGATATGTTACAATTAAATTAGAATTATTTGATAAGATCAGTATTATATTTAACTTTATAGCTTGTTTGTATATTTGATATCATAAGATTGTTTTTCTCGGAATTTGGGTCAAAACCATTTGAAAAATGAAATATATTTCATGAATCCAAAAAGTTATATATATAATCTGTAACATACCCAATAAAGTATCTGACACATTTATATGTACAAATTAAATTTCATTCGTACCATTTAATATATAATATGATATTATTATATAGTGTATAAAGAAGACATGAAAAAAAGAAAGTTTTGTAAAGTGTTTAAGGATTAATTCATATGCCTGATCCTCGGAAACCTCATTCAATGTATCAATATAACAACTCATATTGAATTTGATTTGTCAGAAATCACTACTTTTTTGCGTTTTTTTTTTTTTTTTTCAATGAAGAGTACAAAAAGTTCATACTAAATAAGCATACTTGTGAAGAAAATTTGTTAATTTCTATATTTTAGCACTGAAGAGGAAGTTAATGCTGAGAAGATCTGTAAATGAATTAGTTGATCGAGGCATTTATCCACGTAAGTACCATCTTCACTCAGTTTGAAGTTCTTAAGTTCATTGACTTCAGCTAGTAGAACTGTGTGCCAAATACTGAAATACCTACAGATCAGTTGAGATATTTGCATAATGAAATATCCACAGGAATAGATTCTGGAGACCTATTTTTGTTTTTATGCTGTATAACCTATATATGTCCTATTGTTAACCTATATTAGCAAATTAGCTCATGTTTGTAAAAGCTGATATTTTAACTATTTTTTTGTACTATGTTTCCAATGGACACAATATGTACAGAAGACTATTAATTAATATTTTAGATTAAATTATTAAAAATTGTGTTTAAAAGATAACTGACTAGGTCCAGACATATTCACTGTTCAGAACATTTAAGATAGTTCTGCAAACTGGAAGCACTTGAGAAGATAATACTTTATTAGATTTTACATACCTGAAAGATCTATGTTAATTCAAATATAATTTAATGATGTATTCTGTTTTTTTGGCTATTTAAATCTGCATGATGTACTAGGGTGGGGTATAGAAATTAAATCTGTTATGAAATAAAATGATAAGATATCAGAGTGTATTGGGTGTAATATTTAATTAAATGACATACAGGTTGGTCCAAACAGTTATCATATTATACAATTAATGTCCCTGAAAACATTTAAACTAAAATTATTTAATTTTCATTGCGTAAAACAGCCGTTCTCTCAATTTCGACTTACGTTAAAACAGTAACACTAATGTATAGTTTTAGATTAATAGATCTTAATGATGTGATGTCTTTCTGAATCGTTCTAGAACAAATCATATATGACTAAGTATCTTTGATAATTTTCTAGCCCATGTTAGGATAAGTTAGCCCTTTCTGTAATATCAGGCATTGCTTTATACTAATAAAACATTTCTTTTCAGCATTAAAAACACCACCAGCCTATGCTGAACAAAGAAAACAGTTAGAAAGGGCCAAGGTAAGTTGATAAAGACCATAGTTGGTTGTAGCTTTTGGATGTTTGTGCTCAAACCCTCCTTGAAGCAAGAACATATGTGGTTATATTCAGGAGGGATGAATTTCTATAGCAACTGTTTTTTCAGTTTAAGCTAGTTATTTTGAATGGATAATTTGGAAACAACATATCAATTAATTTGAAAAATCCCAGTGAATAATGTTTATCTAATAATTCAAAATAATTTTAAAAAGCTGACTGTTTTTTCTTAATCTTTAATATTATTAACTAAAATAAAATGATAAGATTCTGTTTAGAAAGCTAATTGAAAGACAAGATGTGTTAACTTTCCTCTTCAATTCAACTCAATGTTTATTAAAGTACCCAGCATATTGTTTGATGTTCAACTGGGATATTTTCATACCATTATATTTATTAGACAGGGGGTGATGAAGTATAATAAAATAAATTGATTTTACAAACATTGGATGTGTATTACATGTACCTGGTTGTTTAGAGTGCATTCAGTGAATTAGAAGGACGTTTGAACTGAAAACACTTGTATGGGGTAAAATGTTATATCAACATGGTGGCTCATTAAATCTCTAAATATCTCTCAATACAAGTTCCTTCTTAAATTGAGATGGCTAATTTTTACTGCGCTTTGAACTAGAACTTGAATTCCCTTACAAATTTGATTAAAATTTTCTAACAGGTAATCTTTTAAGATTCCAGGTTTTTTGTCAGCCTTCTGTTGATTCCTAATTAAGAAAGATTGGACTACCTGATATTTAATTAAACTAGTCCAGAAATAGTTAATGAATCACAAGTAAGAAATAAAGTTGAAATATTTTGATAGGTTTAATTCTGGTAACTGATTCTGGTAATCTTGAAACAGTAGTTCCAAAAAAACAATATTAAGATAAAGATTTAATTTAGAAATTTAGTTTATTATAATTCAATATTATGAAAGTGTATTGATTTAAAGAAGGATATGAGATATTATTGAACACTGATTGAAAGTATTTAAAATGTTTTGAGTTATAAGATATAATGGTATTATATTGATGTAACAATTGAAGATATAGTATAACAAGAATCTATATTGACTGAAGTTTATTAACATCATTATACCAGTTAAACATTACCAATATATCCCTTCCTTTCACCTGTTATCTATTATTATACTTACCTACAACCTCATTACATACTTCTACATTTCAACACTACCTAGTTTTCCATTCCACAGAGAAAAAATTTGATGCCACAGTGTGTTCTTTGAAGTATCAGTGGAATTTGGTTCTCAGGTTCAATCCCAGAGATTAATGCCAAGCATGTTTATACACCCACATCATAATGTGGACGTATGTTGTCGTTACCCATGTCCGTCCGTCAGTCGGTCTATCTGTCCACAATTAGCTTGTGAAAGCGATAGAGACTACAGTTTACATCTGATTCAAATAAAATTTGGTGTGTACGATATTCACGATTTTTCGATGAACGGTTTTTGAGTTATTGCCCTTGATTTAGCCAAAACGCGTCAAAATCGGCTTGTGAACGCGATAGAGACTACAGTTTTCATCTGATTTGAATGAAATTTGGTGTAATCATTTATATTGATGAGATCTTGGACAAGTTTGATATTCACGATTTTTCGATGAACGGTTTTTGAGTTATTGCCCTTGACTTATGAAAACCTTGTCAAAATTTGTTTGTGAACACAATAGAGACTACAGTTTTTATCCAATTTAAATTAAATTTGGTGTGAATATTTATAATGATGAGATCTTGGTCAAGTCTTAAGTTGGCTATATTTCGATGAACGGTTTTTGAGTTATTGCCCTTTATTTATGAAAAACGCGTCAAAATTTGTTTGTGAACACAGTTTTCATCCGATTTAAATGAAGTTTGGTATAATCATTTATAATGATGAGATTTTTATTCAAGATTGAATTTTTCGATCAACAAAATTTGAGTTATTGCCCATGACTTAGTAAAAACTCATCAAAATTTGTTGCCGAAAGAGTTGACAGTTTATGTTGGAATTTTATTAAATAATGTGTCTTTGTTTAAATCAACAATATCTTGCACAAATTAGATTTTTGGTATGATTTGATAGGTGACCGCCCTTGATATACTGAAAATGTATCAGGAAAGTGGGTGTATCTTGCTAGGCAACCACTTGTTTCATTTAATGGTTACTTTAGATGACATATGCCATTCAATCATTAGTATTGTTGGTTTATAAACCATTGTATATTTTTAACACATTAATATATGGAGCTTATTAACTTCAACTTTCTTCATTCATTTAAAATTGATGCTACTCTTAACTCTGTATGAAAAACTTTTCATCCTCAATTACAAAAGATGAAAACAGAAAATTTAATACCATCTCAAAAAAATGTATAGACAAATATAGAATTATTATTGAAAATAAAAGGAAAGAAAAGTACAGACAAAAAAAAAAGGCACTTTATTCCAGAAATAAATAGATAGAAAAATAATGAAAAGCCTGAGGTTGGAGTTTGTTGTTTAATGTTAGATAGATGATGATATTATTATAATAAATTGAAATCATTGTTGTGTAATAACTGAAAGCTCTTTAACAGGATATCTTTCTAGATCATTTTGTGTCACTCTGTTTTATTTCACATGATCAACACTGTTCTACTGACAATCTGAAGGGGTATATTAATTTGATGGGAACATCATAAGGTGTTATGTTATTTTACATCTTCATATGCAATTGCATCCTTGAAGTGAATTGAAGCTGAAAACAACTGGCAAATATCATTGTCCCTAGTGATTGGTACACCTCCAGTTTTTGGCCTAGATCTACCACAAGCATATGGTGATGTTGTTTTCTATAAAATACATAAATTCTTTATGCCTGAAATAACTGGTATCTGTATACAGACTGCAGTAGTGCACTTTTCTGACTGATATTTAAATGTTACATGTTATATAGTTTACATACCTGTTCTATAACATTGAGTATAATGATCTGATCTTACATCTTCACAAGCTCAATGCTCAGACATGGCTGTCTAAACTAATGTGACAAGACTGAGAATGCACTGATAACAGCTCCTACTAATGTCCAAAAATCTTCAGGAGTATGTGTCAAGGAATTCACTTTTTTGTCTTGGATTCTGTTATTTGACTATTTTATTTGACTGTTCCTCAAAATTCTTTGTTCTTCTTTCCAATCTAGTTTTGATGAATCATAAATTAGTATTCAGCTATGTTTGCCGCTGTGATTAGTTCGTGCTGGGCTGATAACCATTTTGGAATGTTTGATATCACTCTTGACTTAGATGCCAACTAGGATATGGGAAGATGATGTTCTAGAATATTCAAGTCTTATGTATTAATCACATTGTGTAGGTTGTAATATATCAACTTGTAATAAACTCTTCAGTCTGTAAGATCATAAAAAGTCAAATTCAATTTTGATGCAATTCGTGTGGTTTACAGTGACTTTCAGACTAAACATCATGGTGATAAATAATTTTCTTTGAAGTAACATCTTCAAGATGATATTGGCATAGATTTCAGATTGATTCTCTGATTGAACTCGTAATGTTTTTAAAGAAATTGTCTGATGATGGATTTTCCCTTGGGGTTTTAACTATAATAATAGTTCTAAATTTAACTCAACTAAGCTACTGAAATGACACTAGTTTAGTTTTTTCTTTTTTTCATGCTTGCAGATCATTGGAATATGATTAAAACTGGACTGTATTTTATATAACTAACATATTTATCGCACTATTTGATGATACACCTACTGATTGTTATTGAAAAAGAAAATTCTCGTTTAGGTTGATTGAAGTAAACATGTTTTTAACAACAGTGAAAAATTTTTCTACAATGATTCATAGTAAAATAGTACTAAGTCAGGTTATTTTGAGGGGTAATTGGTATTTTACAGTACCATTATTCTTGTCAAAGATAAATTAAGAATTTTGTAAGATTCGATAAGAAATGATCTCATAATTATGATATTTATACGCTACCTGGTTTTGAGGTATTTCTGAGACTATTCTTAATTCTGTATAATTTAGAACACGTTTAGCAGGCTTTACAACATACATCACTTTTTCCAGAATTATGATAGAAATCAAGGATTACCTAAGAATACCTTACTTCAAAGGCAGTCTCGGCATTGCTTGAATCTTGAGCAAGTTACAGAAGAATCATACAGTGGATATAAGATTAATGTAATGTTACATGCCACAACCATAATCTTTTTTCCATTTTTCAAGGTTAGATGAAAGAGCTATGTTCTTGGCCTTTGTTGATTCTAGAAAGAACTGACAATTTATAAGTTTCTTCTTGCAATAACAACATTTTATATGAAATCTTGTATTTAGAACTGAATAACATGAAAAAGTAATAAGAAATTATTATATGTGATGTAATATTATTTCTAGACAAACAAATAGATTATTTTACTGTTACCAGATACCCTATAGAATTAATAATAGACATTAAAAACTAAATGTCTGACTTATATCATCTTAGAGATTGTATATTAACCATCTGGAATGATGTAAACTCAATCTGATTGGAGGAAAAGATCTCAACAACCAATCATAGCTTTCGGAATCCATTCTATCAGTAACTGTGTAACTCTAGTTTCACAGATGTTCTGAGATGAGAAATGGTTCCAGACCACTTATAAAACTTCCAAATGTTTAATATTAATGATGGTCGAACATACGTCATTCTCTCATACTGGATTGGTCACCTGTTCGACCTACTCACTCACTTTTTATAGGTCAGAATCCAGCCACTGTTGGGGATGGGAATGTTTTGGACTGTTTTTTAATGCTACTGTATAGATACCAGATGAAAGGAACAATGTTATGAAATCAAGCAGTAACACCTCTAGGCCTGACTTTATTGAAACCTTATGATAATAAATAAAGATATAATCTCTTTCAGGAAGTCTACAAGTGACTCATGTGGAATCTAAGTTAGTTTTTCATTTCAATGTCAGGTTAAAGGTTAAATTTTAAAGCATTGAAAAAAAATGATATGAACACATATCCAATATTGTCAATATTGATGCACGGTTAAGTATTATTTTCTGCTTCAACTAAGCTCTGTAAATATTGCAAGGATTTCTAGACTAGATTGCAGTGGGTTGTTGCTATGGTGGTCTCCAACATTTCAAGTTTACTCTTAAATGTTTCACTTGTATCAATTATAACACTTCTGTAGTAAAGTTAAAGCTTTTTTCTCTAAACTTCTTTCTAAATAAAGCAAAACAATTGATAATGATAAGAAAACAGAAGAGAAGAAAATTGATCATTATTAAATCAAGCACCTGCTTTATAAATACCAGGTAGTAAATAAAACTAGCTAGATAAATCAGGTCAGTATCTGACCAGTAGAAACATTGTCCAGCTGTTTGATATATCTGACCACCTGGACTCCGAACTCATCTCATCTAATATTTTATAATCTCTTTACAATAATCAGTATTTAGATTAAAGATTAATTAATTGATGCCACCCAGTTGAACTGCAGGATGTCAGTGGAAGATAGAAACTTCTAATCAGTAGAAATCTATAAACTAAATTATACTTGTATTGGTTACCAACAGATATTACACAGTCTTGCAACTGTTCGATAATATGGTACATGTATTGTAATGCTGTCATAAGCGAAAATATTCTGGATTATTGTGATAGTTTGAGTGAAATTCTTTATGATTTGTCCCTCCCTTTAGTTTGATATGGTATAGGTCTTATCATAAAAAGAATCTCCTATTTGTAATGAATGAAAGGTAGGAAGCTCTAGAACTGTACTTTGATGATCTGCAGTAAGATGCAGAAAGAATTTACCATAAAGATGAACAATGCATACATATTGCTGTTTATGCCATTATGTTCAGTTCTGTATGATCAAGTTCATTATGAATTATATATGAATGGTCAAAATGAAAACTCTTATTTAAATCTGAAAATTGTGCTAAAGTTTCTAAGTCTGATAAAGTCTCCATATATGAAATTAAAAAGCATCATTTGTGTCAATGAAACCTGACAATGGTGCCAATGAATAAAGATGATGTTGTATACTGACGTCAAAGAGACATTTCCTTTATATTGTCAGTTGTCACGGGGGTATATAAATTGAAGTTATTAGTTTAAAATTTATGTGCTTTTATTTTATTATGGAATCATTCCATAAATAGAAATTTATTTTTATACAGAAGCTTAGACAGAGATTAATATCAAATGGAAACGTGACAACTTCAGTTCAAATTAAATCTAAACCTTGTTTTGTATCACTGTTTCAAAAATATCCTTGAGTATGAAAGCTTCTGAAAATTTTCTTTTATTCATGGAAATATTTGAAATCCTGAAACTGTGATTTATTTTTGACAAGAAGTTATTTTCTGGTGTCAATTGTTAAGGAAATACTATTATGTTGTTGATAGACTATAGTAATCATTGGAATAACTATTTAAGTTATAAACAGAGGAACCATTGTTATGCACATAGGAATAGATCTTACAAGGTGGGGAACCAATTTTTTAGTTAAAATTTTGTTGTAGGCATTTATGTCAGTTCAGTCACATTTAATAGGCTCTAGAATCTTCAGTTTTAAATCTATTTTCATAGATAATTTGTATGTGTTTACATAGAAACTAAATAACGAAGTGCTTTCCAAATATTAACTCCTCCGAGACATTAATGTAATCTAGCATATTGGATATGCAATAGAAGTTACAGTTTATATTTCTGTGACAGTTTCCATTTTGTATAACGCAATGTATAGATTTCTATAGGCCTTGTCTATCTAGATTTAACTCAACAAGTTCAGGTGAGATCTGTAGAATATAAGAACGCTTTAGAATAATATACAATTACTAATATTATACAACAATATACAGCTTATATGTAAAAAATGCAAGTTGTCAATATAGGAAATGAAATAATCCAGGCAACTACCTCTCACCTGATAAATATAATTACTTAAACACAACCTCTCAACCTTCAAATTAGACAAGAAAAATAATAAAAATACAGTTAAAAACAAAGTTTTTCAAATTCCAATGTCTGACATGCCACGTTTTATGTCAAATAAATGGCAGCAGTTGTTGCATTAAAAGTTTATTATTGTACAGGAATCCAACTTGAAAGAAATCATGAAACTTTGTTACTTTTGTCTATCAAATTGTATCTAGATGGCGAGTAATTAAGAATCATGTTACAATTATAACTTAAGAATATAAAGAGAACTGTGTACTGTGTGACAAACATGATGTATTTCTTGTATTCTCATTATGAAGCACCTGATGCCACAAATTGACAGTGTTTTTCATTGTGATGCCCTGAAATATAGTAATGTGAAGGATGAGGGCCTGGTGTTCTGCCTCCCTGTCACTACCTGTAATAGATGATTACAATGGTTCTTGAATACATACACTTGGCATTATTTTATGATATTTCAAATGCTTCCTACCCTTCCTGGTAGTCTGACCTGGTTCCTTTCTGTTTCAAGAGAAAATCTTTGAAAAGAAATCCTAATCAGATAGCAAAATTATGATTTTCTATCTTTCACTTGCGTAAGAAGTTCAATATTGTCCACATATTGTTTCCACACCTTTAACTCTCTCTAGACAGTAAATATTTCACTGGACGATGAAATACTTGGCATCAAATCAAGTCTTTTATATCAAGACCACTCTGACCTTTCTTTTATAACATTCCATATCTTATTTATCAGATTAGTATTGATTTAATTGTGAAAATCAAATTATATGATTTTAAATGAATGAAATTGTATTACTTCTAGAAGTTAAATTCCAGTGTAATTTTGAAAAACAATATGATTATTAAAGTTACTTCAATATTCTGAAATTGAAGTTGTTTGGTACTTGTTCTTCAATTTGATGTGAAGTATTAATATAACTTAACTAAACTCTGCAAGTCCAATTGAGATATTTTACTTTAACAGTAATATCAGTAGACTATAATATTTGTTGTTAATTTTTGCTAAACAATCTTTTCACTTAGAAAGTATAGAGAACCAAGTTGGACTACACCAACTAGGAAAAAAATTTGAAAAAGAGTGAAGAAACAACCTTGGACTAAGCACATGACCTTTATTTTTGAAGAGTAAAACTTCTAAATCTTATCTGTAATGGTATACAACAGTTAGTGAGATAATGTCAAGAAATGTTTTTTTGTGTAGTTTATATCTAATTGATGATAATACACTATAGATATATTATATATAGTATATTGCCACTTCATGATTTCTGTTATTTAATTAATACTTGTATCATAACCTATAAACCATAAACTGCTTTTTTTTTAAAATACCATCTTAAAGTCTAGCCAATTTTCTCAGAAGTTAATTGTTACTAGACAGGAAGACCCACTGACTTGTCATGTATTTACAGGCCATCATTGATTGCTGATCTAGGTGCAGTGTTCACTGTTCAGTAACCGTACATGTTCAGATTTTTTTGTTCAACCTAGATTTTGTTTAATGAAAATCACAATTTACAATCAAATATGCATAGGCCTACTACTTCAACAAATGGTTTCCAAAACCAACTGAACTTAATACCAGTAAATTTAAAATGCAAAAAGGAAATCAACGTGGTGTCTATATTAAAATAGTTTTGGTTTAAAGTTTTTAATTTGCATATTTTCAGGCAGGAGATCTGTTGCGACGTAAAATACAACAAAGACCAGATAGACAATCATTAGTACAACAACATATATTAGAAGGTGGGTACACGATCAAGTCATGTAATAAATATTGTATAATTCTTACTACACATAATGCCTAGTATTCCATGCAAGACTTAATTTATAGAGATGCAAAAATAGCTCTATTTCTACTTTACTTTCTTAACTCCATTTTTATGTTACAATGATTGCTTGATAGTTCTGTAATAATAAATTATGCCAATTTCACTATTGCAAAAAATTCAGTTTTGATTTGATGTATTGATTATACCTGTTTGAAGCATCAAGTTATAACAATACAATAAGTAAGGTGGTTGCTGTAATAAAATTTTGGACAACTGCTGCCAATTGTTATTTTCAACCTGTTTTTATATTCTTTAACAAAACTCAACTTTAAAAAAATAATGTTGATGGTTATTTCAAATTGAGATCTTTAAATAGAAATTTTTTTTAGAATTTGAATGATGTTTGCAGAAGCCTGTAATTTGTTAAAAATCTGTAATAAATTTTTTTAGTAATAAATCTGTTTTGTTCTTCCTAAAAAAATGAAGATTTAAATATTTTCTTTGAAACAATAAAATGGTAAAAAAAAAATAAAATAAAGCTCCTGTTGTCAGATGCCACCTTGGATAGGACTTGTCAAGTCCATTTTATAATCATAATACTGTAGTAGGTTTATGAGATCATCTATTATGTGATATATGATATGCTTTTCTTCTTCTAACTTTTACATGTACTACAGTATTTGATATGATTTATTACCATTTTTTTTTGCATATCAGTTGTTGCCAGAACAAACTGATAATTCTGTCATAGAATCTCAATTATTTGGTATGTTGTCTGAAATTAGCATTTGATAATGATAATCAAATGATGAGACACTGTTTTTTTTTTGTTTTTTAAAGGGAACAATTTATTGTTTTGTTTTGACAGTAGGAAGTAATTTAATAGGATACAAAGTATTTTATGATGAAACAGTATGCTAGATAATAATTTAAGAATGAGTAAATCAGAATAATTACTGATTTTTGAAACTGCTATAAACCACTATTAAAAGGTTAAAAAAATAGATAATCAAGATGTTACAGAATGATAACAATTTCATAGAAAAGATTTAGTTCACCAGAAGTTTTAAATATAACATGGACATTCAGGGAAAGATATGATTTCATATGTAAATCAAAAGTCGCATCATGAAATTCTGTACAGTCACTCTTCTCTTAATGTACATAATGAACAGTTTGTATACAATCTGTTACAGATACAACCATAGCACCGTCATTACAAGAACGCCAGAGGTTATTGAAAAAGTCAAAACTTAGTGATGAGTTGAACGAGAAGTTATCACATCGTCCTGGACCTCTCGATCTCATCAAAGGCAATATTCTTCAAGCTGACAATAAGATGATAGTTGATGCCATCAAAGGTAACAATGGCTTGCAGATGTATGATGATGATTATTATGGTTAGTTGTAGTTTTCATTTAGACTTAACCCTAGCTTGCATGTAATCATTCCATATCTGTTCATCATCATGGCATGTATTAAATGTTTTAGATAGGAATAACAGCATCAAATATCAGTTCCCACTATTTAGTGTATGTTACTGTGTGTGACTGTACTTCTATAAAAATCTCTCCAGCTTATTGCTATCAGATAGAATTTTAATGTGTATTAGTAGCAAGGCAAATGGGCTCTATTTTAAATCTTTACATGTATCTAACAAACGATTTTTGATAGAAATAGATATTGTATTTTCCTCATTTACAGATGGATCCCTACACTTTGATGGAATTGAACCTTCTGATGAAGACGATCAATCACGTCAGATTACTTTTGATGATGATACAAACACAAGTGATGGAGCACCTTCTCCACAAGACTCAAATATGTCAGAGATTGGTAGTCCTGTTCCAGTCACCATACCAACACTACTGGACATGCCACAATTTTTTCAACAAACAAGTCCACAACCTACAGTGGTGTTACCCCAAGTATCCAGAAGTCCACAACTCAGCTCACCTCCAATTATTCCTCAAACCAGCAACATTTTGGCTAAATCCCCTTGTAACATGATATCAAGCAGTAACAACAATAACAATAAAGCACGACCAAAAAAACCAAAGCCAAAATCTATTCCCAAGGCAAAAGTTATTAAATTCCATGAATATAAGGGTCCACCAAACATAGTTAAAACTCAAAATGCCAATGATAAGGATTCAGAAACCCCATATCATGTCATGCTGCAGCAACAACAGTTATTTTTACAGTGGCAGTTGGAGTTTCAACAGAAGAATAATTTTCTTTTGGCTCCAGCAGAACCAGAAGACACACTTATACCAATTGCTCCTCAACCTGCTCCAAACTCCAGTTCTACTGTAGTCACTTCTACATCTCCCAAACCAACAACCACTCAAACTGTTCAAACACCTGTTATTGTTCAAGCTACAACACAGGCTATACCAACACCAGTTCCTCAACAGATTATTCAAACTGTTCAGAAATCTGTTACTCCACAGATACCAGTGCCAACAATGATCGCTAGTAAATCACCTTCACCCCAGCCTGTTCCTCTGCCATCTATTGTGGCTGTGAAATCTCCGAAAATCTATGGCAATTTAGAAGATCTTAAAGTTGCTGATCTGAAAGTGGAGCTTAAGAAGAGAAACTTGCCAGTATCAGGATCAAAGCCTCAGCTCATTCAAAGGTTAAGTCCCTATCATGAAACCGGTGCTAAATCACCTTCTCACACAGTGGTTACTCCTGCTCCATCTCCAGCACCTAGTATTAGTAGCATCGGTAGTACCATTGAATCAATAGGTTCTCCCCCTCTAGCTAAAGTAGGAGCAACTATAGGAACTGTTATTAATGTTCATTCACAACCGATGCCACAAGTACAGCAATCACAACAGCAACCTAAAGTAAAGGAAGAGCCAATGTCAAGGAACAATTCACCACCAACATCACCATTGCTAATGGAAAGTAATCCACTGTCACCAGACATGATGGATGTTTCAATACCAAGCACTGTCACTTTAACAAATCAGGCCAAGATTCATTTCAGTCCACAACCACCACTTTCATCGGTATCTCCTATACCTACTCCGAATTCAACCCCAATACATACACCAGCTCAAGTTCCTACATCGGTGACTGCTCCAATTATAAGAACTCCAGAACAGCAGGTACTCCCTGTTCAAGCTAACATTATAAAAACTGAGGCTACACCCATGGATGTTGATCAGACTACTAATGTGGATACTCTTAGCACTGCCTTCATCAATCAACAACTCCAGCTCCAGATGCAGCAAGTGAAGCAATTGATACAACAAACTCAACAGCAGCAATCCCAACAGCAACCACAATTGAGTCAAGATGAACTTTTGAGACAGCAACAAAGTCAGATTGAAGAGCTACAACGACAGCTTCAAGAATCTCAAATGAAACTCAAACTACAAGCTTTACAGCAGCAACAAATTCAACTGCAGCAACAGAGCCAATTATTGCAACAGAGTAACTTGATGCAACAGCAGCCAGTTACATCACAGACTTTGATAAACAACCAGGCTAACCTCTTGAACTCACAGTCACAGCTGGTGAACTCTCAAACTCCAATGGTAAATGCTATACAGATCATACGTCCTGATAGCAAGATATCAACACAACTTCAAAATTCACAGACCAAACAGATACAAATACCAGCTAGTTTATTACAAGCTAACTTACAGAATAACAACCATGGTGTACCAGCTGTTATTTTAACAGGAAATGGTGATCCAACTAAGCAGAGTAAAACCACTTTTGCTGATTATCTGAGGTTGAATCAATCTCTACAGAATGGTAACAAACCAGAAATAATGACATCAACATCAACTATCAATAATCAACCTTATATATTTACTACAGCTACTACCAATATTAAAACTACAAACCCTCTACCCATTAATGGTATTCATAGGTAAATATACTTTTTGTGGATAAATATAAGACCTATAATGTATTAGGTGCAATTTCCTCAAAGACTGTGGGAACTTGCACATGCCTTCTGTGTTAAAGCCCAATTTAACTGAAATACCAAGTTCTTGTCTGATTGGAATTGGTTTGGAAGAGTAGCTTTTGTGGGTTGCCTAGGGTGCATATGTCACTTATGTCCATAAAACCTATATCAAACTATAAACACCTTCTTTTTCAGGACTACATCATTACCAGTTACTTCTCTGGACTCTCAAAAAATTCCAGTAATAGAAAGATCACCATCTAATCCATATTTTAATGTCCCATTGAAAGAACCACCAAAGTATGATGAGGCTATCCGAAGTAAACAAGTTAAACAGCAGAAAGATGAGGTAATTTAGATATTTCTTTCCTCGAGTGCTACAAAAAGCTCCAAAAATAGAATAGTGTATAATCATCAGTTCAATGTTCAAATGTGTTTTGAGAACACAACCATTTTAAAATGCTTTAAAAGTAAATAATTATTTAATATTTATATCACTTGTGGTGCCATTAAATATTTAATATATATAATTAGTAATTTTTACATTTTCTTTCTCAGCCAATGGTGCCATCTCCACCTTGTGGAAATCCCCACATAGTTACCCAGGGTAATCCTAATAAAAGTCAAGCTATGGATGATGTACTAGAGATTCTTATTAGACATGGAGGTAAATTAATTATTTTGTCTAATACATTTAAAATTGTAGGGTGTAATTAATCCAGAAAAGCAAACAGTGTATGTGATTGTAATACAGGTTATTTAAATATACTTTTGTAAGATACTAGATTGTTGTTGTTTTCATTGGTATATGTCTCTTCTCACCATATGGATTAAACCTTTAATATGTTTTCCAAAATTGCTTTATTTTGTAATTAGTGTTTGGGTATCATTGAAAATTTAATTGAAAATTCCTTTTATTTCAGATTTGCCACCCAATGCTGCTGAAGAAGCCTTACCAACCCCTAAAACCACACAAGCTCAACCCTTGCCACCTGTAGCATCAATGCCTTCTAATATAGCTGCATCTTCATCTTCATCCAGCTTTAGATTGGAATCCATCCTTGCGTCTTCTGGTATTAATATAGCAGCTCCTACTGCACTGCCAATCAGTTCTTTAACCCCACCCCCTCCAACAATAACCACACCTTCAACAATTAATGATGTGTTACAAATGACTGCTGAGAAATCGAATCGTATTGAAACCCCACCTCCACCACAAGTTGTTGTATCTATGCCTTTATCAGATAATAACAATGAACTGTTGGATTTATCTGAAATGTTGGATGCTGGTGATTTAAACAGTATGGATTGGACAAATGATAATGCGTTTAGCAATTTAGATCTATACGCTGCTACTTTAGCTGATCAGTTAAATTCAGTCAGTGATCCACAAACCATGCTTAATGTGCCAACATCAAGTGATAAAGATGACAGTGCTCATGGTTCAGAACCTGATCTTGCATCATTAGGACTCTCAGATCAGGATGCTGCTAATAATATGCAAATAGACGTTTCTGATTGGTTAGATGTGATTATGCCAAGTACAGGATTAACACCTCTCACCACTAATGCCCCAGTGTCTTTCTCTTCAGACCCCATATTAACCCCGAAAACACAACAAGAAGTTCTTGAACTCTTCAACTTTGATGATACAGACTTCAGTGCCCCATCTGACTCTGTCAATGGAATAAACTGGGAAAAATTAACAGATCCTGGAACAAGTTCGAGTTAGTGGAAGGATTATTTTGTGAACTTAGTTAAGCGTAGTGATATTGTGATGTGTAATATGACATATGAATGGACCAAGTGCCTAATGGAACAAATTGCTTCCGGAATTGTGATTGAAATACAATGGAAAAGACATTGATTTAATGAAACTGGTTATTGAAGACTTGATTGGTAGACAAGATTACCAATTTTATGTAGAAAGAATTTTTGTAGAAACATTGCCATTTTTATTCTGATTCATTTTGAAGGACACCCAGTGAGTGCAAGCTTTTTGAATGGAGAATACTAGTTGGAGATTGTTAACTGCAGGCTTGTCTTCTAAAACTTCTTATACCAGTTATATACATATACATCAAACAGAACATTGATATCTTGAGTATGATTAAGAATATTGTGTTCAGAACAAATAGAAGTTTTAATGTTCTTCTACGACATTGAAACTATACTGGATGAGTTGCCAGTATATTATATATGCTTAGGTTTTTATTTTGATGGTGTGTTCCCTATTTATTTAGAGCTGGTTTGAAGATGCTATGTTTATATTATGTTATGTCTATGGGTCCATCAAGCGGAATGTTTTTTTTTTAATTTTGATAATTTCCTACCTTTGTATTAGTTCATTTCCTACATCATCAAAATCACTTGAAACTTTCATACCCTATATTATAATCTTCAGTAGATAACTTGGCATCCCACAGCCTTCTGTATTTTGAAGCATTCCATTGAAACTTGTGCAATTATTCTTC